AACCTAATTAAAACAGAACTTTGATGATTCAGATTTATTCCCAGTGCATAAATCTCTTGGAAAGTTCGATTTGAAAGACACTACGGTTTACCACAAAAGCACCAACGGCAGTTATTAAGACTTACTTCGAAATTCTTCCTTTGAAAAAGAAGCTCACCATCGAGATTAAAGGCATCACCATAATCCAGTCCATAAGCAGTTTCAGTGTGAATAAAATAAAGGTGGCCAAAATAATCTGGGTTTCGCTGAACATAAGCGAACATGCAAACTGCATCAGAAATCTGGTATACTACGACATCAGCTGTTCGGCTTTGAAGCAGCAGTAGCATAAGCAACTGTAGAAGTGAGATAACTGTGTGAAAAATGTAAAGTCTATTTGAATGCGCTTATTTCTGCATTATAATCGACGTAAGCATTTGCAGGAAAATGTGATTTCATGAAATTTCGTACAAAGTCAGAAATGTTCGTTATATTATGCCTTCATCTTCACTACTTGCAAATCAGTTTACAGAATGCCGAGGCGTAAGGTAACGCCAATTTTACGTTGCGCCTTCAGTAGTCAGCACGAAAACAGTAGTGCATAAATCAGTAACCAAACTTTAGAGACAACTGACAGTAATTTAAAACCCAGAAAAGTGCCGCACATTGAATAATTTAAGCTGTTCGAAAAATAATCTGCAACCATGAATAGTACTTCAATAGCTGGCCCCAAATGACAAACGCTCATAGGCTTGTAGGTAAATTTTTTTGCATATGCCATAAATTTCCGCGAAAGGAAACTGTCAGCTTATGGTAAATCACCGGCCTAAATCTTACTTGAAAGGTTTCCTACTTCGCAGTGAAAAATGTTTGTGCTTTCCGACATATGCCTGCGGCATCAAAAGTATCTGTTGAACTTGACTTTAATTCTAGCGAAACTTATTGATTGAGTACCAAGACAAAGCGACAATCATTTGACAAGAAAGTTCGTTGCAGGGGTGAGGGGGGGCAGTGGAGCAGTGGGTTGCAAGCAACGCTACTTTGCGCGTTAGGTGTGTCTAGTTTGAGTTCCTATGAGTGACGTCATGTTTTCGCATTAAAACTGTATTTCACTTGAACAAGAAACGTGAGCTTCTGTGCGGTACACTCAACCAAGAAACGAGTAGCAGATCGTTAGCCTGCGAGCAATGAGGACAGCATGATGCTTTGGTGTGATCAGGTAGGCCCCCGCGAGTCACTTGACCATACTGTCTGATGCGTGCGCCCTCGATTTCAATGTGTCTCGATTGCTGACTTATCGTCAGTGCATATTACAACTGTTTTTTTAGAAGGGAGTAAGGTGAACATAGAGCACTTTGGAAAAGTCTGGGTGAAACGATCTTCCAGCATGTCGTCTGCGGTTTCTAGGGAAAGACGAACGTGAACACGAACAGATTGGACAGGTGCTCTCATGGTCACAGATTCGTCTATGATGTATACTTATCTTGGAAGGCATAAATCACTGCTGCTGCTCGACGTTCGATCAACCCTACAACATAGGGTAGGTGCGTATTAAAAGAGTGGATGCCTACTAGGGAAGTAGAGAAGGCGGGATGGCATCCGAATTGCGTGATCATATGATAGGAGTCTTCGACCGCGAGCTGGTGAGCTTTGGATTATGCTAACGGCTACAGATATTTCTCCATAGCATTCTTCTCTTAATGCTCATTCCAAAGAGGTAAGAGGTAATGTTTCCATAACATAACGTAACACATATGCAAGAACTAGT